AGCCCCTATAAAAATGGGATTTTGGAAAAGGGTTGTCAGTGCTGTCAGTATCAACGTCTAGTCTGACCGTTTATTCTGTCTTTTGGAGGATTTACAATTGAACATTTTTTGACTGCCCCAATCTAGCTAAGTTTTTTGATTTATTTCTAACTTTTTTCTAACTTCACTTTTCGACCTTTTTGTTCAATTTGTGACTTTTCTAACGTTCTCATTTTTGACTATTTGATTTTTTCCTTTTCATTTCCTTTCCCTCTTATTTACCGGTACTTCTTTTTTATTTAGTTCTTCTCTATTTTTTTTTAAATTAATTTCACGTTACTTCTATTTTAGTTATTTCTTCTCTAATTAATTTTACGTTTTACTTTTTCATTGTTTAAATCTATTCTCTTCCCGTGCCCATACCCCGGAGTTTATCTGTTTATTTTTTCGTTTCACGTCCGACCTTTTTTTTCTTCCCCTTTATCTATTTGTTTATTATTACGTGTTAATTATTTCTGTGTTTTTATTTTAATACCTGTTAAAAGTCTACGTTTTATCTGTTAATTATATAATATTTTAATTTTCGTGTTTAATTTATAATTTCTGTCCCTCCTCTTTTTATTTATTTAACGTTTTCATTGTTGGGTTGACCGGTTTTTTATCGGCAGCCATATTGTAAATTGTTAGATTTTTTAGTTTCGTACTTTATTTTGTATAGCGTTTACTCGTATTTTTTACGTTTATAACTATTTGTTTTTTTTTTTTTTTTTTATTGTGTAATTTGCTGCTTTCTTGTCTGTTGTTCTTTTAATTCTTTCCTCGTTTTCGTGAACTTTGTTCACATTTTCTTTTCTGTCCATTTGCTTTTGCGTTTATAAATTTTGCACACGTCCTTCTGTTTTTTCTGTTGATTCAAATTGTTGTCTCGTTGATAAGAAAAACTTTATTTTTACCCTCCCCTTTTATTTCTTTTTTCTCTTTTTTTCTCTTTCTCCCTCCGCCTATGAGGCGGTTCCCTACCCGTATTTACCCCTCCCCTTCCTTCTTAAAAAATGGAAAAAAAGGAAAAAAAACCTCCTTCCTTTTTAGCTATAAAAAAAAAGCCTAACCTATCGGACTATAGAAAGTCAATTCGAAAACATCTTTTCAACCCTACTAAAAAAGACCCCCCGGATAAAGATAATCTAAATGATTTTCCAGCACTTGAGTCCTCTTCCCCTAGCAACGTTAAAAACGCTGGGGAAAAAGAAGAAGAAAAAGGAAAAAATAATTCTACGGAAGCCAATAATGGCAACTTCAAGGAAAAAGTTAAAACTACGGAGGCCAATAATGGCCAAAATACTGAGATAGTCAAGGAAACGAGAAATGAACCGCAAAATAAGCCTGAGGCCGGGGAATCGCCCTCTTGTTGGTCGTCCCCTCCAAAGTGCATTATCAATTTAGCGGAGTTCTTGGAGCGTGCCAAGAGTTACGCCCACCTTGTTGTAGAAGGTGGACTCTTGGAAGACCCCCAAGAATTAAAGAAAATTGAAAAAAGAATAGTGTCGGTTTTCGTCGTGGACAAGCGTACGCGCAAAATTTGTCGCTCGACGAAAAACAGTGTTGAAAGCACTAGAATCCTTCGAGTTCAAGCCCCTTAGAATAGTTAAGGGAGCTAAATTTTTCATGTGGGACGTACTGTTGCCCACATCGGAGGACTGCGTCGCCGCGGTTAGCCGCGAGCTAATAACAAAAGAAATTATACTGCGGACGGAGTATGAAGGCCGGAGAAGGACCAGTGTAACAGTATACGAGGTCCCTCCTCAAGTTATCGGGGAACATCTGGCAGCATTCTTCTCCCAGTATGGCGAAATTCTGGGAGCTTCCTGTGATAGCTTGAGCGGGGGTGGAGCTTTGACATCATGCTCGACGAGAAAGCCTTCCGCTCCATCCCCAACTGTCTGGATGTTGGGAGTTTGAAGTTACCGGTCATTGTGACGGGTCGAAGACCGGTATGCTGGAGGTGTGGAGGACTGGTCATCTCTCCTCCTCCTGCCCAGAGAAGAAGGCCTCTGGAAGTCAAGCCCCAGTCGTTCAAGATCCCCCTCTGACCGCGTCTGTAGATTCCGCCTCGCCTGTAATGGGCGTACCAGCCTCCGGGACCGGGTCGGTTAATCCTCCGGTTGGCGTGCCATCTAAAGCCACATTTCCCAAAGAGCCTTCGCCCGCTGCCAGTGCAGTTGTGGAGAAGGGAGAGGGGGAATGGCTGGTTGCTGGTAAGGCCAGAGGGAAGCGCCGGACAGCGGGTCCTCAGTCCCCTGAAGCCCCAAGGAAGAAAGGCACTTACAGCCCCTCTCCCTCAAACAACGTTAAGGGCGATGCCCCGGCCTCTGAATTGACACTGCAGGAAAAACAAAAGAAGTTCGATCCAGGCTATGAAAAGACTGAAAAAATAAAAGAGCTCAAGAAGCTATTAGATGCCAAATCCAAAGACCCTACCCCTTCAACGTCCTCTGCCCGGCCCACTCCTTCACCGAAGAAACAATCCTCGCCATCCAAATCCTCACCCCTCAGTAGAGATCCCAGCCCCTATAGACACAGGTCGTTTTATACCCCTCTACACACACCCACTCCCTCCCCCGTCAAACAAAAATCCTCCCCCTATAGACACAGGTCGTTTTATACCCCTCTACACACACCCACTCCCTCCCCCGTCAAACAAAAATCCACCCCCCTCCATACCCCCAGTCAATCACCGGTCAAGAAAGCAGATATGCCCCCTCCCGCTCCGAAACGCCTAAGAAGCCCTAACCAAGATCCTAGAGAACAGAGGAAAAAAAAAGACACATGTTTAATACTGGGAGGAGGTGTGCCATATTTCCCCAGCCCAGGCCGAGAGAGCCCGGGACTACGGAAACAGGCTGAAGGAACTAAAGTATTTGCTCTCCATAAAGCAGTTTGCAGACCTAGACATCGAGGTGCCGCAAAATTTTCCTAATGCCCAAAGAGTCCTAACAGTAGTAAGAGCAGGACCCGCAGCCAAACAAATCTGGGCGATGATCGATGAAGCCATCAATGCGTATAAGATGGCTCTACCCATTGCCATTACCGAAAACGAGCACCTGAAAAATTTGAAACAGTTCTGTGCAGGGAGGGTCCCCGTTTTAGTTCACCCCTCCCTATATAGAGCTCTTAAACTGACCTTCCCCTGGGATATCGGCGGTATCTCCCAAGACGGCACCATCAAGACTGAGATGGGCCATGGGTCTATGGGAGAGGCGGTCGGTATCCTTACCCCGGCCATGTTTAATTCTGGTAAACAACCCTAATCGGACTTCTCGTGGCTCTCTGGTTAGCTACTTTAAATGTGCGGGGCCTGAGGTCCGAGTCTCGCAGGGCGAGGCTCTCTCGTGACCTTCAGCGCCTCGGGGTGAATGTTTGTTGTGTGCAAGAGACCGTTTTCTTCTCATGACCATGAGGATATACTGTCTAGGGGTTCGCCCTTTATTCAGCATGTTTTGATGGTCGTTCGAAGGGTGTCTCTTGGCTAGTGAGCAAGTCTTTGAAGGCTGCATGTTCCCTTGTCTTCGCAGATCCGGCGGGCAGGCTTTGTGTGCTGGATGTTACTATAAAGGATAAGGCTTTACGTCTCATTGGGGTTTATGCGCCCAATAGTCATACTGAGCGGCCTGCTTTGTTTCGGCAGATCGAGCCGTTTTTGACGACTTCTCGTCGGGTAGTCTTAGCGGGGGATTGGAATGCCGTCCTTGACCCTGAGATAGATCGCATAGGTAAAAAACTGGGTACTAAAAATCCTGATGTGAAGGCATTTCGGGACTTTATCGGCAGGTTTGATCTTGTCGATAAGTACCGGAATGAGCACCCTCAGGAGGTAGCTTGGACTTGGACAAATAGTGGCGACTCGGCTCCTGGCTCGCTTGCGAGCTACCTGGACCGAGTGTTAGTTAGGAGAGTCGACGTAGGGCTCTTAGAGTGTCCAAGTTTTCACTATATAGTTTATACGGATCATAGGCTTGTCCGGGTCCGTGTAAACTTAGATAAACCTAAAGGTTAGAATGGCTGGTTACTGGAAATTTAACTGTTCACTTTTTTTTGGTGAGCAGGATTTCCGGGACCAGCTGCTACTAATGATTTAGAGGGAATTGACGGGGCGGTTGTGGGTAACGCCTGGTGGGGAAAATTAAAATAAAAAATTAGAACGTTTGCTGCCGATTTTAGTCGTCGACTCAATCTAGATAGACTAGCGGCGCAAACGGCATTAGAAGATAAAGTTGATCGGGCCGTCAAATCCCGTGTTAGTGGGGACATAGTCTTAGCTAAAAAGAGTTGGCCTCCTTGCTTATCAAGAAGGATCAAGCTCTGGTAGTTAGGGCTAGGCTAAAAAGAATGTCTTCTGAGGCGACGAATATGGCCGCAAAATTGCGCGCAGAGGAAAATCGGAACGTGGATAAGCGACATATAGCGTGCGTCACATTGCCGGATAAGCGGACCGTGACTACAAGCGCGGGCATATGCGAGGCCTTTCGGCTTTACTTTCAGGATCTTTTCACCAGGGAGCCCGGTCTGAGCTCTGCTCTGTTCGATGCCTATTTGGCTGACTTTCCCTGCCTTGAGGCAGCTGAAGCGGCTAGGTGCGAGGGTCCCATAACAGAGTCGGAAATCTGGGATGCGCTGAAGCAGGTTGGCCTGGATAAGTCTCCTGGACTAGATGGACTTCCCTACGAAGTGTACTTGAGGGCTGTCGCCCGTTTTTGTTCCTTTGCTGCAGCTGATTTACAACCACTGGATGAGGCAGGGGGTCTTTACCTCGACGCTTCACCAGGGGTGTGATCAAGTTGTTGCGTAAGGACAAGAACGGTGGGGATGGGTTAGGGAACTTTCGCCCTTTGACGATGTTAAATACTGACTTAAAGATTTTGGCGAAGATCTTAGCCAACCGTTTGCAGCTTGTCCTGTCTCGTCTGATTGGCCCCGAACAGACTTGTGCTGTGAAGGGCAGGACTATTCAGGATAACCTTCATATGGTACGCTTGATCTTAGAACAAGTCGACAGTGAAGCCGCGCTGATCAATTTAGATCAGTCCAAGGCCTTCGATAGGGTTGACCATCGGTTTCTGGAGGCTGTCCTGTCGGCGGCCGGTTTCGGAGCCGACTTTCGCTCCTGGATCCGTCTCTTGTATGCGACCTCCGGTGCGCTGGTGGAAGTGAATGGGGTGAGGTCGGAGCCTTTCGTATTGTCTCGCTCCATTCGTCAAGGTTGTCCGCTATCGCCCTTGCTTTACGTTCTTGCGTTGGAACCATTCCTTCGCAAGTTAAAGGCGAATCCGGTCCTGCGCGGAATTTCCCTGCCTGGCGCTACCACCTCGGCCAGGTATTCTGCCTATGCTGACGACGTTTCAGCTCTTGTGTCGAGCAGAGCCGAGATTGACGAAGTCAGCAAAGAAATCAGTGGGTATGAGATGGTAACAGGGGCCAGGATCAACCGCGATAAGTCTGTGGGCTTGCGGTTGGGTGCGTGGAGGGAGTTTCTCTTCCCGGACCTTTCCTCTGGACGGATGGGCCGATCAAGATACTCGGCGTCTGGTTCGGTCCTGATCTCCAGTTGGAAATGAACTGGTCGGAGGTACAAGGGAAGGCCGAGGTCGCGGTTAATCTGTGGTCTCGGAGGAGACTTTCCCTGAAGGGAAGGGCGGAAGTATGTGTTTCACATCTATCCGATCCTCCTCTACCGACTCTCTGTGCTTCCACTCCCGTATGCCCGACTATTGTCTTTAGTCCGGGCCTTGTTCTCTTTCTTGTGGAGAGGCAAGGTCCCTATGGTATCTCGCGAGGTCTGTTGCCTCCATCCCTCTGAGGGCGGTCTGGGGATGCCTAGCATTGAGATTCGTCAATATATGCTTCGCATTACTTTTTTAGACCGAATGTGTCGTGGGTCGAATGAGGAGGGTGCCTTTTGGAAAGAAGACGTCCAGAAACATTTTCCGTCCCTGAAAAGTGTGCACTCGTGCGAAGAAGAGGCCAGCCGTACACCACGTGCCGAGTGCCCTTTTATCGTGAATGTCGTCGCGCTCTGAAGCTCCTCTTACGGGCTTCGGATGGCCTCTCCAACGCCCAGGCGTTGTCTCGCAAGGCATTATATCAAGTTTTAGTTAGGGGGTCCGTACAAGATGATCTGATAGGCGAGCTCGGTCTTACGAAGCAGGAGGCTCGCTCGATATGGCCTTGGGCGCCCGGGTTGAAATGCCTCAATAACGATGAGGCATCACTCACCTGGCTGGTGATGCGTGAAGCCCTCTGGGTCGGCAAGAGACTTTGTTCAGCAGGCTTGGAGAAATATCCAAACTGTCGTCGCTGTGCGGGGGAAGTCGAGACTATTGGTCACGCCTTCTTTCAGTGCAGGGCGGTAGTGCCGTTAATGCAGGTTTGTTGAAGGCCTCATGGTTCGCATGCTGCGCGGAAAGTTTTTTGTCCTGGAAGCCAGTTCTGTTTGTAGCAATGTGGTGCCGCAGATGACGAAGGCTGAACACTATGTGTTCTGTTGCTTACTAGGGGTTATGAGAGTCGTGATTTGGACGACGCGTCAGAAGGGATTCCATGAGGGCGTGAAGTTCACTTCTTCCCAACTGATCTTGTTCTTTAAGCATCCCGGAGTTAGGTTAGAGTAGGTTTTTGCATTTTTTCTTTTAGTTTTTTTTTTTTTCTATTCTGGTAAACTTAGCTAGGGTGTATTTGCTCATTGGTCCCCTTTTATTTCTGTCCCCATTTTCTTTTTCCTTCAGTTTAACTCCCTATCCCCTCCCTCTTTTTTAGGTGGTCAGTAATGTCAGTTCTCTGGTAGATGCGGGGCGCCTTTCGTTTCGTGTGTGGGTTTTTCGTATTTGTTGTTGTGTATGAATGAGTGTGTGCCTGTGTGAATGTTTGGGAAGGATGAGTGTGGCTTTATTTTTTTATAAAGTCCCGCATCGATTTCGTCCGGTTAACTGATATTTCTGCCACATTCAAGAGTTTGTGGGGGGTTTTATTACTAACACTAATTTTATTTAGTTTCTTGTAAATATATTTTTGTCATTTTGTAAATATTCATTGGGGATGTTTTTAAAAGTTGTTGTTTTTTATGCCCCTCCCTCCACGGACAATATTTGTACATAAGGGGATTATTTAGGTTTTTCATGGAGTCAAAGTGGCATTTTGGTGTATGTAGTAAGAAAGGTATGGATAAATGTGTTGTTTTGGTGAAAGGAATATTGTTCAGTATGATAGGGTCAGTGAATGTGGCTAGCTAAGTTTTAATTTAAGACCAGTGATGACCGTCCTTTACCCCAACCCCATTTTTGGCCTTGTGCCGCATTTGTACTTTTGTACAATAAACAATAGTGCTGTCAGTATCAACTCCGGCTTTTGATTCAAGGACTATTATATCCAGCCGAAAGAATCTCTATAAAAAGTTGCCGACCAACCAAAACCCAAAAGAGAATTTCATGGAACAAAGTTGGTAAATAGAATTTTGACTAATTTTCATTGACCAAACTAAAAATTAATATTTATTTACACACCTTTGTGGATTTCCAAATATAGCACTTAGATTACTTCACTAGCCCTAAAGTGATAAAGATATTTGACTCCCTTTCCTTCTCCCTCGTAACACTTCGCCAGTAACTCTATGTTTTCTGTTTTGTAGGCCACAATTGTTTATCTTGTATATGTTCTGTTTTAGTAAATTAAATATTTGTTTGTGATTTAGCTCTGTGTTGTAGTAAATCATTTTTTTTCCTTTGTTACAATTATCAACACGTAACACTATACAGATAATAAATACTATAAATAATGAAATCTACGCTTACACTCAAGCCACGTGACCTTCCGTACTTTTTAATGACAAACCATTTAAGCGCTTTTTATCAAAGCATAATTACATTTCTTCACAAGTGGGGATCATCGGATTAGTCCAAATTATACAATTTTCAAATCCCTAGACAATGACGAGCTAAGAAAGAGAAGTACAAAGGTGGATGGTGCTGTTATTTATTTTTATAATTTTTAAAAAAATTTAATCAAAAAGTGTTAAAATTTCGATTTAAAATTAAAGAAATGAGAAATAATTGTATTAAAAATTCAATTTTCATTGAAAAAATTTTTTGCTTTCAGAAAATATTGTCCATATTCATACGAACAAATAAAAACAAATAAAAGCGTTTGAGATTAAATAGTATATTTGTTTTTATTGAGTTTTGTATGTTACAATTCAGAGCTGATTTTCAGGTAATGGGTTCATTAAAAAAAAAAACATGAATTACATTCTTCAAAGCCTTGTGCTTTAAATATTGTAATCACTAAAAACCGATGGTATGGAATTTTTGAGTTTTTCATAAAATTAGATATGGGGTGTTAATAAAAATAAAAAAAATATTTCTGCCATGACTTTAATAAAAAAACATATTCATAATAATTTCGATCATCTGTGAATATTTTCTGAAAGTTTCATTAACATCTGACAATTATTTTTATTTTTACAAGATTTTCCAAATTAATAGGTATAAATACCAAAAAACGCGCTAAAAATTATCTATGTTATTTAGTATCCCTTTTTGCAAAAAAAAAAAAAAAGATAAACAAGGTTTTTAAATCAAAATTTAGAATATTCAAAAAGATGGAAAAATTTTGAAAAATAATTAAAAAAAAATTTGGTCTATCCTCTTCATAAACACATAAGCATTTTGACGATAAAATTTTGTTTTCATAAATTTTGGCGTCTTTTTCATCCGACTATGCTCTATTTTTTTGCAATTTTGCGGAGGTACCTATGTAAGTGGTATGGCCTGTTCTTACCATGAAGGTTTGACTTGACGGGATGTAGTTCGCCCGAGCACTTTCCGTGGAAGTAACAGTAGAGCAGCGAGAAGCTTACCACATCTCGTCAGTGGGAGAAAGGTTGAAGGGTGGAGAATATTTCGTCACCCACAAGAGCTCGGAAACGATTTTAAACTCTGTCAAGGCTCCCGCCCAAATACAGAATCAAATATAAACAGAAACAGGTAGAATAATTTATTATGGAGGCATGGTGGAGTAATGGATAGCGGCTCAGACTGAGGAATCGGTGGGCCGAGTTTGAATTCCAGTCAAATCCATTGCATTCAATTACGGTCTAATACCTTCTTTTTTTCTCCTAGCTATGGGTAAATAGTTCTATTTTCGTACTTTTCGGGTTCTATAGCTTTGGATGGCTACTGGTCTACTGCAGAAAGAAATGGCAAGCTACTGTGAGAAAAAATCTGCCTCGTCAGTCATGTATCGAAAGATACATGATCACCTAAGCGTGTATCACGCATAGCAAATAACAGTAAAGTGACATATCTATTTCTATTCTCTCAATGAGCTATGTCTCTTAAGGACGTGGACGATCATTACTCTCCACAACTTCCTATTTCTTGTTGATCTTGCCAATAAATGTTGCTTTACGTACCCTTTGTGTCTTTCAGTTATTTGTCTAATTATAATCTATATCAAATTTTATCCACGAAAAATATAAAAAAATCCCTTAATGCCGAGATTTAAATATAACATCATGCTTAATACTTTATTCTTGAGGCATCCCAAAACTTCTGCCGATATCTACACGCATAGCGTCTTGCATTAAAATCGTCCCTCTGTCATATTCTATTCCCGTAGTAGTGTGAATAAATTCCTTAAATATGTTTATAAGATATTACGTCATTAGAGATTCTGTCAGATGATAGAACCAAATTTGTTAAATATATATTAAATGGAGAGTTTGCTCAACCGGATGTTATCTTGTCAATCCGAAGCCTTAGCGAAGCCATTTTTAAATAATAACCAACAATAATGAGGATGACCTTTTCATTGCAATGTTAGCAATTTCGAAAATACAAAATAGATAAGCTGCTCTATTAATGGCCAAAAATAAAAATAAGCTAAAAAAAGCAGCTTGTCAATCAACCACAGACAAAGGAATGATCAGCGCTTACAGAGTAGATAAATACAAGCAATGAAGACAGTGATGTCCTCACCACACACAAACTACAACTGTAACAATAGAAAAAGAAAGCATGAAGAAGTGCAGTGAGAGACCCAAATCTGTTATTTCGAATGTGAGAAAACTGTGAATTTAACAGATATAAAATAATTTTAGGGTTTTTTTTTCTATTGATTTGAAATCTGGTTCATTAATAAATTCAAGTTTAAAATTTTTGTTTTTAAAATTGTAGAAATTATTTTAGGTTTCTAGTTCTATCCCCTTTTCAATCTATAGAAAACAACCTGAATAATAAATCAACAATTTCAAAAAAAAAAAAAAATATTTGAATTAAAATAAAACTTTCAACGATATACATCAATCCGGGCTTTACATCTCGACTTCAGTCACTTTCTCACCGATGTGACATAGCTTCCCTCTGTGTTTCCTACAAATATTTTCATAGAAACTGATAAGCTTTTCCCACCTGGTGACTCGACAACATGAATTCAAGCGTGATCGGTAGATGGTCAATAGTTAAACTCGGTAGATGCAACCGCCAGTTCTATTCTAACAGTTCCTTTTCTGGCACTTTCAATCCCCACTTCCTTATATATATCAGTAATTTGCATTTTATTTCCTGACCTCAATTAGTTTTTGGTCCAAACAGTATAGTCAATCCACCGACGTTTATCGAATCCTTTTTTATCCCCAAATACTAATCGCTATATGCCCATCGACTCCATTAGTCAATGTCAACCATTTCGGGGCGGCAAGAGTATAGTCAAATAGTACCCATATTAATAAACATAGATTAGCCAACATATCTATTTCTATTCTCTCTATGAACTATGTCTCTTAAGGAAGTGGACGATCATTGCTCTCCACAACTTCCTATTTCTTGTTGATCTTACCAATATCTGTTGCTTTCAGTTATTTGTTTCTTTATGTTTCCTCAAAATTGTCAAGTAGCTTAATTGGTTCATTAGTGACACCAAATCAATTTAAACACGCGTTCAAATGAACGGGTATAATTTTCTACGCTGATTTTAAAGGCTTCAATTAGAATCCTGTCGATTGGCGCAAAACAATCTTCGTATCGTTAATTTTTTTCTAAATTGTTTTTGTTCTAGGATAAATGTCACTGATTTTTTCTTATCTAAATAACTGATATTTACTTACATGACCTACAGAAGGTTTTTCTTTTATCTGCCGTAATATATAGGGCATAGCCGATTATATATCTCCACAACTTCCTGTTCTTTGTCGCCTTGTCATTCATTCTTGTTCCTATTGTACAATTTAACAAAATTGTTAGGTAATTGGTGGTTTTCTTATGCCATCTTGTTTTTAAGATTTCCTTTTAGTTTTATATTCACCAAACCCTCTTTCCTCATACGTCCCGGAAATTTTAGTTGTCGCGGATTAGAGTATAAGTGTCCGTTCTGTTCTAATTTGAAAATGTCGTTATTGCTTATATAATCCATCCATTGTATTGTCAGCATCCTTCTGGTGAAAAAAGCACTCAACATTCATTGTTATAATGAAGATAAAGAGATTACACACTAGTTCAACACCGTTTCATTTTTTTCGACCGAAATCTTTCTGCTTCTTAATACTTTCCTTAGTTTCTCTAAATAGAGAAATTTTCTTATGACTTAAAAAGAACACACAAAACGCAATAACTGTTCCCCATAATGAGACTGACCACAATTTTGACATAAAAATGCTACTCTAACTAAAAGAGAACATAATTCACTAAGACGAAAATGTTTAGAAAGATGCTTTAATTGCTACTTCATCCATAGTAAATTCCCACCCATATTTCTATAACGTTTCACCATTCTTGGCAGATATTCTGTTATCAGAATGTGGGATATTTATTAATAAAGATGATGGAAACAAGAAAAAAGAGAATCTATGTGAAATTGGTAGATTAGAGACTCAAAACATATTAAAAAACTAAACCGAAAACACATTTAAAAATTTTTTTATAAAATATTTTCCAAATTTAAAATTTCCAGCGACTCACGTTCATGAGCATGTGCAGACGCTTCAAAATAAACAAACCAGTCTGATGAAGTCCTAAGGAACAAAACGCGTCACAGGAAAACTTCTTCCACTTTGTCATAGATCTTTCCTCCAAAACGGTTCTTGATATATAAAAATGTATACATCGTTATGGCTTATATCTTAATTCAAATTAATTTCTTGATGGCATGTTTAGCTATTCTAAAATATATAATCTAAACAGATATTAAACAGAAATTTTAACAACTGACTTTGGATATAATAAAGAGGGGTAGGATATCAGTCAATTAAATGCCATGCATGATATCAGACGATCATGTATCTTTCGATACAAGATCGACGAGGCGGATTTTTTTCTGTAGTAGGTTCCCATTTTTTTTCTGCGGTAGGCTGGTTGCCAAACAAGGCGAAAGAATCCAGTCTGTTCTGATATTCAACCCATATCAGGGGGGGGAGAAGAGATGGACTCATACCTTTCCCAAGGTTATTTGTACGGAAGCGAATCACACGAACTCGACTGGAATATTAGTTTTAGAATATACCAAAGATAAAATTCAAATGAAATGCAGTATTAAGGCCCAGACATACAGAGGCAAAGATGCCAGTAAAAAAAATGCTAAAAAGACGTAATTACATTACCTTATTAAAAACAAAAGAAAACAATGTCCAAAGTATTGGTCAAAATGTAAATATTTCCCCGTCAAATTTCCATAATGGCCTAAAATTCACTAAGCATGTAATTATATAGGTTAAGCTTATTGTCTCTAAAAATAAGTGCCAATTATTGCTTCTCATGCTCTGAACATGGGGAATGTTTATTTAGTTTAATTTGTTTTACGGCATATCAACACCTCCATGGGTTATATAATGCTTACAAGATTTTTAGGATAGATTCACTGAATAGAATATGTATTCTTTGCAAGAAATTAGCTTGTACTTAATGATTGGGGTTTATTTTGTTTTACGGCATATCAACACCTCCATGGGTATTTTAATGCCAACAATATTTTAGGATAGTTTTATATGAATAGAATATGTATTCTTTGTAAGAAATCAGTCTTTACGTCAGGATTGGGGTCTATTTAGTTTTACAGCATATCAACACCTCAATGTGTTTTAATGCCAACACGATTCTAAGAATAGGTTCATATGAATAGAATATGTATCATTTGTAAAAAAATCAGTTTGTAGATCATTGACGTATTTTTGTAAAGATATTTTAGTCAAGAATTAAACATCTTGCTGATAAGATACATATTTTTTTTCAAAAATGTATTGCTGGTATGTTTGCTGTATATATATATATATATATATATATATATATATATATATATATATATTTCATTAA